ACAGACTCTGATGAAATGTGCCAAAGTCTGTAAAAGTGGATACCCGATGTGGATCCAGACAAATCTCTCTCCCATCAGGGCCACAGAACATCATGACATATTGGAAAAACTTGAGCACTTTCAAAAGAGGATGTCTAAGATGCTGGAGGGATTTGATAGATTAATACTTAAAGATTTGATTGATTTTATTTTATATTATGGTATATAATATTAACCAGGAAAATCTCAGATATCTACAGCCCCTAAAAACTTAAACTTTTGTCAAAATTTGAATAGAATAGAATAGAATAGAATAGAATAGAATAGAATAGAATAGAAAAACCCTTTATTGTGCTGCAATGGGGAAACTCTGGTGTTTACGGCACCAAACAAAATCATAGAAAAAAATGGTCCATCAAATGTATAAAAGAATGTATAAGAAAATGTATAAGAAAAACCTACTTGTGAAGAGTTAAAAGATTATTAAAATACTGTATTGTAAAGTGTTTAAAATTGTATTTATTAATGTCAGTTTCAATGTTCATGGAATTAATATCTTAAATGTATTATTATGAGCACATATTTGTAAGATGTAGACGGAGGCGTCAACAATGGAAGGAGTTCCAAATGGATCTGCAGAGGTAGACAGACTGCCTGGTCTCTCCTTTTGCAGGGGTGTAAGCATAAGACCATGGAAAATAAAAAGAAATATATATTTTAGAGCGGAGACTGTAACCTGTTAACTTTGATTAGTTAATTATATAGGTTTTAACACATTGAAGAATTAACACATTTAATAGCCTTTTATTTTGGAATACAGGGTAAAGTCCCTCGGAGCAACCTTTGTACTTGCAGTTTTTTGCACAACCTTAAATCTAAAACACCAGCAGCATCACAACTGTTGGACTACTAAGGCTAACTTGTCATGTTGGGTTCAAGGCATCTAACCCACATGCAGAAAACACTCAGGAGGCAGAGAAAAAGTTCAAAGGTTTATTACAAAATGAACAATGAAATGTAAACTGGTCGTTGGTTAGGCAGACTGGTCACGAGGGGATCACCACTGAGGAGGACAGAGAGGTTAGTGTTTGATCCAGGTTAATTGCAGGTTTTCTGATGTAGGAGTATATACCTGCTCAAGGGTTAAACGGAGCTGCAGAGGGGGGGAACCTTGAGGGTCCAAAGGCTAGTCGGCAGGCAGAGGGCTGAGGGCAGAGGCAGAGGCTTAACTGAGTGCAGGCAGGCAGATTTCAGACAGAGATCACTCTCCAGGATATCACTGAGTGCAGGCAGGCAGATT